GGCCAGAGCCAGCTGGCCCGCCGCCAGCGGTGTCTTCACAGGACTGCAAGAGGCAATGCCCTCTCGGCGGCCTCAGACCCGGGGGGCCCTGGGCCTGTGTCCCCGTCCCCACCCTGACCCCCCGGGCAGCAGGGGGCATGGCCACGGAGGGAGCTGGCCGTCTAGTGTCCTGGCCACAGGGCCTCCGTGTCTCAGAAAGTGCAGGAAGTGCCTGTGTGGCCCAAGCGTGTAAAAGACAAGACCCTCAGAGTCCCCGAGCACGCAGAAGATGCAAGTCACAGAGAAAACGTTAACGTCTAAGTAAGTGTGGAGACGTCCAGTGGAAGTCTTTTCCCCCACGGAAACCTCTCTGATGCTCTGGATGAAATGTCCCCCTCTCCCCCGACCCCCCGCTTCTGGCTGCCCCTACTCAGCGGGCGCCCCAGCAACAGTCTGCCCTGTGGGGGGGCTGGGGCGCAGCACGGGCCCTCCTAGCCTCCGACCCTTGACCTTGCCCTCAAGGGGCACACCCGGCCGCCTGCCCTGTTCAGCTGTGACGAGGATGGAGGGAGAGGAGGTGACGGGGCCAGAGGCCCAGCACGTGCAGGGATGGAGGGGGAAATGGGGGCAGGGGGAGGATGGGGGAGCAGGGCCAACGGGGAGCTGGGGAGAGTGGGAGAAGACTGGCCTGGGGGTTGTGGCCCGGCCCCCTCGGCTGGCCCTCCGTGCACGGTGGGGCCTTGGGGGGGGAGGACGGGGCAGGGGCCACTGCAGGACCCACAGGCCAGGACACCGAGGCCTTCGTCTCGACACTGCACATTCAGCCTGCCTCAGTTTCCCCCAGTCCTGTCCCCCAGCTTTGATTCCTCCCAACCACCTACGTCCTCTCCCATCAGACGTAAATGTACCTGAAAATTCAGTTGGTTCAGGCAGCAGGCGTTAGGCCCCTACTGCATTCCAGGCCCCGCGGTGTGCACCCAGCTCCCACCCAGAGGACCACGGCGGCTGGTCCCTCACCCATCCCACCTGCTTCTGCTTCTGCCCTGGAACCACGACGCCCCTAGTGGACAGGACAGGAACTGCAGTGTTCCATGGAGGGCTGGACCTGTCACGGGTGGCCAGTGAGTCTGGGACGCGGGGAAACGTGTGTCTGAGTTTGAACGCTCCCCTGCCACCAAAGCCCCAGGGTCAGAGCAGGTGAGCTCCTTCCTGACGAGACAGACCCTTCCTGATGCTTCTTTAGGGCGGCAGCCTCCAATGCCCACCCAGGCTCCACGGCAGAAGGCCAGACATCCCAAGATGGCGGCCCCAGGGGCCCCACCCAGGGAGGTCCCATCCCCACAGTCCTCCACAGGGTCTGGGTGCCTTCCTGCCCCGAGATACACACGCGCTCGTACACATGACATATGACGATGACAGTACCCTGAAGAAACAAAAGCCAGGAGCGCACTGTCGGGACGGGGGGTGCAGGGAGGAAGGGGCGCCCAGGCCCGCCCCCAGCCCCCTCCCGCGACTCACAGAGACTGCAGGCTCCGCAGTTCCCACAGCGCCTCGGCAGGGATCCCTCCTAGCAGGTTGTTCTGCAGCATCCTGTGAGGGGAAGAGGCGGCCTGAAGGACTCCCACCCACCCGCCTGCCTGCCCGCCATGCTGGAGCCCAGCCTCAGAGCCCAGAGTCCTGTCCCACCCCTCCCTGGCTGGAGGTCCAGGGCGCTGTGCACGGGGCTGGGAGAGTGCCTCCGAGGGACTTTGGGGAAAAGGCCGGGGAGCGGAACGCGGGATCCTCTGGCCCTCTGCTCTGGAAGGACGTGGGCAAATGCACGACTTCCTCCCCAGGCCTCAGCTTCTCCGTCTGCAGCCGAGAGGCCGGGTTTTCTTCGGGGAAGGGGAGGATGCGCAGGGCCCAGGCAAGTCTGTCCTTGTGGTGTGTGTGTCTATAGAGACAACTTGAGGCACCCAGATCGGAGTGTCAGCACCATCTGGTGACGCCATCACACATGACCCCACAAGAGCAGGGACATGCCAGCTCGGGGCACGATCCGCTAGGGAGGCTGCCCTCCTGGACCCGCGGGGCAGTGAGTCAGAGAGCGAGAAGGGGAGAAACTGGGGTCTGGGGCCTTCAGGTGGCACTGCTGACCCCAGCCAACCCTGGCCACCAGAGCTGTGCTCAGAAAATTGTGAGGAGGCCACGCCAGCGCCTCGGGGAGTCCCCAAAGCCTCAGGGCCCTGGGCAAGGGTCCTGCTCACCCGGCCCTAAGAGAGGACCTGGGTGGCCGCTGCCACTGGAACGTCCTTCCCTGCTGGCCTCTGGAGAGGAGGAGGGGGCACGTGGGGCGGGCCCCCTGGGGGATCAGGGAAGAGCCGGGGGCAGGAAAGAAGGAAGCTGCCCCACCCTGACCTGCACACCCGTCGGGCCCTCCTGGGCCACGTACAGCCCCAGGAACAGCACCTATTGCAGGATAGGCTGCTCTGGAACTGGGAGGGACCTCCAAGGAGACCTACTGTGTGCCAGGCATGCTGTCCACCCTCCCTCTAGGCATTACCCCATGCAGGAGCTCTGGCCACATCTGCCCCTCACCTGCCCTGACGGGCACAGGCCAGGTGCCCTCAGAGGCCCAGACGTCTCTCTACACACCTGGGTCAAAAAGAACTGTGGCTTCCCTGAGGACAGCTCGGGGTGGGGTGGGGGCGCAGTGTGTCTGGGCTCTCAGCCTTCAGGACTCTGCAGGACAGGGATCCCCACCTACGGTCGCGGGAAAAGGCACGGGGCAGGGGCTGACCCTCTTGACCCAAGCCTGGCCAGAGCCTTGAAGAACCAGTGCAGGAAGGCAGGGACCCTAAGGAGTAAGACTTCCAGGTCAGGTGTGGGGCTGGGCGGGAGGGACAGGGGAGGGGTTCTGCCACAGCCGCTCGGAGAGGATCAGAGAGGGAGCCCCCTTTTATGGTCCTTCACCTCCGGAAGGGCAAGGGGGAGGCAGAGTGCCCTGCAAGGACAGCCGGGCCTCACCCACCAGAAGAAGATGGACTTCAGCTGGGCCCCTGGAGCAGCTAAAGTGACCGCCTCCCAGCACAGAAAGAGGGTATCGTGCTGACGGCGGGCTTTACTGCTCTATTTTTCTCGCAGGTCTGAAAACAAGTGGGGAAGGCACTGCAGAAGGAGAAACGTGGCGGACGCCGGGAGGTACTTCTTGCCCAGATGCAGGTGGAATCCCTGCTGTGAAGACGCTGAGTAGGCGGGCACCATCCCCCAAGACGAGACGCGAGTCTCACATCTGAAGGCCCAGCAGACAGATGCCCCGCTCACCAATCCGGCTGCAGGTCTGGGCCTGCTGCTGGGCACGGACGCGCCACCATGCGGGCCGCCTGGGCCACGTCTGGCTCCAGGGGCCTCCCCACCCCCAGGGAAGCGATGTCGGTGGGAGCGGGACAGACAGACCGAGAGAAGAGGCAGGAAGGACTGAGGGCCAGCAGGATGGGAGAGCAGGGTCTGCAGCAGAGCGGAAGGAAGGAGGGACAGAGGCAGAGCGCCCGCGGGCAGAGAGGGAGTAGGGCAGCACGAGAGGCCAGAGCCCTGGAGCCAGAGGCCAGCAGTGCCGGAGTCAGACAACATGGAGAAAGGAGAATGCTTGGAGGTGGTCTGGGGGCTGCTGACAGGCTGGAAGCCTGAAGCTCACAGGCCGAGTGGGCAGGGCCACCGCCAGCCCATTGACAACTTGGAGCAAATTAGAAAGATATTCCTTTCTAGATGGAAGTAGCCCCAAGGCTGGCACAGGGCTAGATTTCAGCCCCTTCTCACCCCTCAGGCGATGGTCTTGTGCAGTGAACAACCTGCTCGACTGTACAAAGAAGACCTGCTGGTCAAGTTGGGGCTGAGGGGGCAGGAGAGCGTGGGAGCGGCTCACCACTTCAGGGGAATTTCAGACGCTCCAGGATCAGCGCCCAGGCTCCTCCTCTTCCCAAGCCAGTCCCTGTGGTGACGAGCCCTCCTGAGAAGCCTCTCTGGTCCACCCTCAGACCCCCCCGCATCCCCTTCCCCCACCTCCTTTCACCCACACTCATCACAAGAGCAGGAGTGGGGCCCAGGGAGGACAGTCGCAGTTGGGACAAGGTGAGCTGTGGACTGGGGCTGGGGAGAGGGTGCCGTAGCGCCCCCTTTTGTCCAATGGGCTGTGGGCTCAGTGGAAGAGAATAACTCAAGGTCCTTTTCAATTCTCACTTTCCTTTTGCTTCAGGGACAGAGACGCCTAGGAACTGGAGGACGGGACATGTTTGCCGAGAGAATGGGACTCAGTGCTGTAGCCAGAGACCAAGGCTGGGGCTCGAGAGGAAGGGGGTCCAGAGGAAACCAGCGGAGATTCCTCCTCTCCAGAAACTGTCCTACCCACCCGGCCTGAGAGTTCTAGGGGGACACGTGGGTCTGAATCTGACCTCGACCCTCAAAGACCTGTGCTAACGGGCACTATTCACGTTACAGAAAGGAAAGGAGGGCACTTCCCTACATTGTGGCCTAAGTATCAGGTGCTGTTATACGTCTGTTTATAAATCACAAAGTTTGTTACATACAGGGCGAAAGCAAAGCCATGGAAATCATTAAAATGAAAAGTGAAGATAAGGAAATGAGCAGGCCAGTGGCAAACCAAGACACAGGTTAGAAAACTTCCATCTGCCCAGAGTTCTCCAGGCTGCATCTCCATGTAAAGTGGGACTTAGACTTACAGGATTTTCAGGCTGTAGAGACCAGAGAACGCCTGTCCCGGGATGTGCGAGAGGCGGTTTCCAGAGAGACGCCTGCAAGTCAGAGAGAAGGGCGGGTGGGTGATACTGGCAGGGAGCCAGGCAGGGTGGTGGCCCTGGGTCAGCATCCTGGGACGTGGGAGGGAGGCTGCTGGTGTAACTGCACTGCCGACGGCACAATGACCCTGCAAGGGGCCCACTAGGACCCGCAGCCTTCAGAGGAGGAAACCGAGGCTCGGGTCACAGAGGGTGCCTGGTGTCTCCCCGGACCCGATTACCACTAGGCCCACGTCCACCACGTCCATCCACAGCACTGACCTGCTGACCCACCATCCCCCTGTGTTGTCTCCCGTCACCAGTGGAGTTAGATCAGACGGGTGTGTCTGGGTCTCCCTGTGCCCTCAACTACACAGACAACCCCACTAGTCCAGGGGGCAGGGAACGGGGTGTCGCAATTAGTCTAACCCTGCAGTCTAATTAAGCGCTTCCACGTTTGTCATGGGTGACCCTCAACTCCGAAAGGAGCGAACAGGACGGAATACGCTGACACGTCCTCAGTGCTCAGCCTGGCCGAGCAGAGTCTGCTGAGGGCGGGGCAGAGTCTCAGGCATCACTGGGCACATCAGTTCTCACTGAGAGGCCTGCCGACTGCCGATGCGGAAATCGTGCTGACACAGCTCAGAAGCTATTTTTTAAAAATATATCTCTACTAGGGGACTTGCCTGTGGTCAGGTGATTAGTACTCTGTGCTTCCACTGCAGGGGCCGCAGGTTCGATCCCTGGTCGGGGAACTAAGATCCCTCATGCAGCATGGTACGGCCAATAAACACACACACAAACATACACACACACTGAGTCTTTTTATTTGACATTTGTTGTTTTAAAAAACAACACATGAAAAGGCATCGTGACCTTTGGGGTTACTAACTTGGGTTCCCTAGGTGGGCGTCTTGCCTCTAAAACAGGCCAGCCCCTCGGGGGGTGGGGCATGGAGGACCAGCAGCCCCCAGGGCTCAGGCTGTGCCCGTGTCGCCAGCTCCTAGGCCTTTGTCCTGCTTTTCATTCCCACCAAGCTGGGCCCCGCCACCTCGACGGCCCCTCTGCTGCCTCTCACTCTGTCCCTTCCTTTGACAACAGCCTTCAAATTCCTCCTTGGAAGGCGTCCCCACCCACCCTGCCCACTTACTGACGTGGCGAGCCTGGGTGCCCATGCCAGGCGCCCTCTCGTCTGCTCCTGGCAGACCGAGTGCACCCTTGGGGGGCCGTGCCTAGGGCCAGGGTGAGGAGGGCTGTGCAGGAGGAGTGGGTCAGGGCCAGGACCTCCCAGTCTGAGAGTTTAAGCAAAGCCGGTAGAGCCCCAGGATCAGTGGTGATGCCCAGACAAGAACCAGCAGGCTAGGGGTCGGCTGAGGAGGGGGGCAGGGCTGGGAGCAGGTATCCTGGCTGCCTGCAGGGGACAGCGGGTACTCTGGCCAAGAAGATGACTCTCTCACGTGAGGCGCTAGAGCACGAGGCCAGCCTGCAGGACTCCAGGCCGTGGGGAGGGATCAACCAGGGAGGACTTCCTGAAGGAAGTGGGCCTTGTGTTGGCCCTGACAGAGTGGAGAGAGAGATGGTGGGCCTGCCAGGCTGGAGGGGAAATCTGCTCAGATGCAGGAGGGCTCCAGGGACGGGCAGGGGTACAGGCCTCCCTGGAGCAAAGCTGGCCGCATGGGCTTGGGCCAGGTGAGGAAGGGTCCTCGAAGCAGCTCCTTTGGATTGTGGGGAGGCAGATAAGGCCGTGGAGCTGGTAAGAGGCACCCTGAGATGGGCAGAGTCTGTCAGAGAGGAGGTAGGTGATCTGTCCTTAGGGGCTGCGGCCGCCCCAGGGGAGGGGACGTCAGGGTAGCAGCAGCAGCAGGGATCGGTACGGGGGACCTTCAGAGGAAGAACCACCAGGACCTGGGGAGCGGCCGGCGGCCGGACACAGGGGGCAAGGGCAGGTCAAGGACGACCCCAGGGAGAGAAGCAGCATTGACAGAAAGCCGGTCGGCTTCAGGGAGGGAGAGGCTGGATGTCCGAGTTCCTCTGTCCCCACTGCCCGCCTCGGGCCCATACCTGGGCAGGTGGGGCTGACCCCGCTCAGAAAAGCTCCCCAAGGCCGTTTCCGCTGGCTCCACCCCTCCCCCCTGGGGACCCCCGGTTCCCTGTGTCAGAGGTCACAGTGCCCGCCTCCAACCCCCCAGCCCCCCCTCCCCCCATCTACTCACAGCTCCTCCAGGAAGCGCAGGTTGAGGAAGAGGCCAGGCTGGAGCTCCGTGAGGTTGTTCATGCTCAGGTCTCTGCGGGAGAGAAGGCAGCGGGCAGGCTGTGAGCTGCGTCCTCCCCGGGCCGTGCTCCCCGTGGCTCCCCCTGCGCCTCCCTCCTCCCCGCTCCCTCCACTGGACGGGCTGTGATGAGGGCCACAGAGGAAGCCGACCCCGTCGGGGACAGGCCAGAGAAAAATTCAGAGGATGTCAGAGCAGGACAGGGCCGATCAACACGCAGGATCCCTCATGGACGTTTTACCCGAGACCACCGCCATCCCGTGGGCTCCTGGAATCAGCCCCAGACTCACCAGGGGGTTGCCTTTTACTCAGTCCCTGAGCCTTCGGGATTCCACAGCCCTGAGGCCTGCAGTCTCTCTCCTGTTGTCTCTCCCTGAACCCCACCAGGCTCCTTCTACTTTTCTCCAAGCAGAGGGCCTGGCCCCTGGTACATCCCTGAGGATGCTTGATTCCTGAGGAGTCCCACCTTAGACCAGTCTCGCCTTCCCATATTATCTGAGAGACCCTGAGGGTGGTTTCTGTGTCACTGCCCTCCAAAAGATACCCTGCACACAAAGGAATCACAATACTGTGATTGTGTAACAGCTGGCGTTTACTGGAGGCCCACTTTGTGTCAGGCACAGGCTAACCTTTATCCAAATACAGTAAGTCCCCTACATACCAACCTTCAAAGATGCGAACGTGCGTTCGCATGTCCAGTCACGTAAGTTAGTTCACGCGTCTGGCGTACATTGTCACGTGCGTGCATCCTCTGCAAGCGGTTGTTTTCGTGTACTTTGCAGTACTGTATAGAGTACAGTAGTACAGTACCTTTATTTCAAGCCCAGGATGTCTGGAAGCAAGCGTAAAAGCAGCGGTGATGTAGCTGGTACTGCTAGGAAGCGCCACGCGACAATGATGGAAACAAAAGTGAAAGTAACTGAGAGAGTGGAGCGAGGCAAAAAGATGTCAGACATCGCTCATTCTTATAACATGAATCGTTCAATCACTGGCACGAGTCTAAAGAACGAGGACAAGATCATGGAACATGTGACATCTGCTGTGCCGACGATGTTGACAAAATATCGACGAGGCATGGAAAAGTGACGGAGGAGATGGAGAACCTTCTCAGTGTGCGGATGCAGGGTCAACATCCTGCTCAGCTCAATGCCGATTCAAGAGAAAGCTAAGAAGCCTTTATGAAGACTTGGAGAAGAAACACTGCAAAGAATCAGAGGGCACGTCTTTCAATGCCAGCCATGGCTGGTTTCATCGGTTCAAGGCTAGAGCCAACCTTCACAATGTAAAAGTAAGTGGAGAGGCAGCAAGTGCAGATAGGGTAGCTGTCCGGGAACTTCCGGAAACACTTTGAGAAATTATTGATGATGCTGTGTATTTACCCAACGAGGTTTTTAATGTGGATGAGACACAACTGCACTGGAAGAGGAGGCCAGACCAAAGTTACATTAGTAAGGAGGAAAAGATGATGCCGGGCTGTAAAGCAGCAAAGAATAGGCTAACTGTTGTTTGGTGGCAGTGCTTCTGGTGATATGAAGCTGAAGCCTCTCTTAGTTTATCATTCAGAGAACCCGAGAGCCCTTAAACACATAGCCAAGGGCTCTCTTCCTGATGTGTGGAAGCGTAACCCCAAAGCCTGGTTACAGAGGCCGTTTTCCAGGACTGGTTTTTCCACCACTTTATCCCAGAGGTAGAGAAATATTGCTTTGAGAAGGACGTTCCAGCAAAACATTCTTTTGCCGCTCGACAATGCTCCGGGCCACCCCCCCATTCATGGATGACTTTCATCCCAACATCAAAGTAGTGCATCTGTCACCGAATACTACATTGCTTGTCCAACCTATGGAACAGGGAGTTATAGCGACTTCCCAGAAATAGTATTTATGTCACACTTTTTGTCAGGCAGTAAAGGTAAGTGACAAATCAGGAACAACCTAGGGACAACTCTGGAAGGACTATAACATCTACAAGGCCATAAAAACATTGACTTTGCATGGTGTGAGGGTATGGCGGTCACCATGAATGGGGTTTGGAAGAACCCCTGCCCAATTTGTTCATGATTTTTGTGGATTTGAGAAGGTAGATCAGAAGTCCGAAGAGGTCTTCAGCAACGTAGTGACCCTCAGCAAGAAGCTGGAGCTAGGTCTGCAAGAGGACGACTTCACTGAACTCCTTGCTGTGCAACATGAGGAGCTCACTGATGAAGACCTGATGGAACTGGAGGCCCAGAGAAAGGACGAAGAGGACAGCAGGAGCAGGAAGTAACTGAAGAGATTCACGACGCAGGAAATGGCAGGGGATTTCCTTTATTTGAGGAGGCGCTGTTAGTTTATGAGGCACAGGACCGACCCAAACGTAGAATGATACACAAAGGCTGCAGCAAGCTACTCAGAATGCAATCCAGGGCTACCTTGTCATCTATGACGAGAAAAGAAGAGCTGCTACCCAGACATCGCTGGATCGTTTTTTCAAGAGGGTGGATAGAATTGGATCCAGCAAGGAACCAGAACCTCTGCCATCAACGTCAGGCCTGGGTGAAACGGCAGCTTGCCCTCCTTCTCCTGCTGCTGACGACCCTTCAGCTCTACCATCTCCCACCTCCTCTCCCTCCTCCAGTCAGTAACTGTTCCTGCCTGTTCACTCGATGCCAGCCCCTGTATACCAGCTGTTGGACTGTAATATTGCCCTTTTCAAGGTACTATACTGTAAGATTAAAAATGTCTTCTTTATTTTTTGTGTTTGTTTTTTATGTATTGTTTGTGTGTAAAGTGTCAAAACCTATTACAGTACAGTACTCTACAGCCGGTTGTGTAAGTCGGGTACCTAGGCTAACTTTGTTGGACTTACGAACAGGATTTACAGACGCGCTCTCAGAACGGAACTCGGAACTCGTAACGGAACTCGGAACTCGTTCGTGTGGAGGGGACTTATGCTAATCCCATTTAATTCTCACAACAATCCCAAGGTGGATTCCACTTTACACTCAAGAAAGCAAACAGGAAAAGAGCGCTGAGGTCAACTCTCTCCTTGGTTTACCTGCCAGACCTCAGGCTCTTTCTTAATCACTCTGACCCTTGGTCTCTTCATCCATAAAAATGGTTGAACACCACCAAACTGCTAGGGTCCTCGTAAGGATTAAATGAGCCAAGGCTTACAGACTGCCTAACAGTGCACACACATCAGTCCTGTCCCTCGGTGACCTGTGGGCAAGCGTCCCAGCCCAGCAGGCCTGGAGCAGGCAGAAGGGGTGACCTTAGCCTGCTGGTCCTGCCCCGCCCCAGCGTTTTCCTCCCGGTCTGAGCCGGGGAACAGTGACGCTCGGGCTGCACGTGTGCGTCTCATACACTTGCGATCCCTCCTGTCTCAGACTCCTAACAGCTGCTTCTCACCTCCGCCAACTCCCCCCAGCCTGAGGGCACAGGGTGGACCCAGACCGGCCCACCTTGTTGCTGGGCACCACCCGCTGGCCTTCCTGCAGCTCCCTCCTCCCCAGGGGTGCACGTTCCCTGCAAACCCCAGGGTCTCCATTTTCCCCAAGAAACGCGTGTGACGTGTGTGCTGGAGATAGGGTGGGGGTCAGGGGTTCGGGGCCCAGCTCCAACCTATGAAAAGGCTGTTTAGGCTCCAGTGTTTTACCTCCAGTGAAGCCTGGCCTCTGGATGCTACGTGCTCTGAGGAAGGAAGCCATCGGCGGCAGATAGAGCCGAGGAACCGGCAGGCTCCCGTCCGGCTCCACATGAGGACCGAGGGGCCGTCCCGGGCCGAGCCATCCCGGGCCTGCCCGTCCAGAAGGAGGGCCGGGCGAGCTGTGGCTGCTTGGCTGGCGGCCGCAGAGCCACAAGCACGCTGGACGGTGGCGGGAGGGGACGGTAAGGCCACGGGAGCTCAGGCCGCAGACCCTCCTGTCCGGCCCCGGGCCCAGCGCACGATCAGCCCGGCAGGAAAGCGTGAGGATCCACAAACTCGGGCACCTCTGAACACGTACCCCGAGCATCTCTGGACGTGTCTCCACAGGTGCTCGCGGGCATGTGACTCAGACCCCATCACTCAGCCGTCGCCCCGGGGGCTGCACCTCAGAGGCTCTGATGTGGCTCCGTGCCCCCCCGCCCC